AACCCAGGATTGCAAAAAACCAAGGATTGCAAGAAACCAAGGATTGCAATCCTTCGTCTAGGGTTTTTTGCAATCCTACATTTTTTCGCTGCTCTCCTCGCCCCCCATGGGAGGGCGAGGCCCACTCCACCGGCCAGAGCCCGACGAGGGCCTCACGGCGGCGGCGCCAGGGCGCCGAGCGGCCCCCTGCGGGCCACGCTCAGGCACCGGAGCCGAATCGACAGGGTGCCTCCTGAGCCTCCTCCTGCTCCTCCTCCTCCTCCTCCTCCTCCTCCTCCTCCTCCTCCTCCTCCTCTCTCTCTCCCTCCTCCTCCTCCTCCTCCTCCTCCTCCTCCTCAAGGATGCGAGCCATGACGGGGGCCCTCCCCTCTGTCGGAGGGGGGAGATGCGACACCAACACCATGGGGGCCCACCTCCAGCGAGGAGGTCCACGGTGCCTCCCCGAGCTGGAGGCTGGGGATGCCTCGAGCGAGAGGGGGGGACCACACCACGAGGGAGACCCCCCCCCTTGCTCCTCGCATCTCCTCGCCCTGTTGGTGTTGGTGTCGCCTTTCCTTGTTCCTACTCTGCCCCTCCCCCTCTGCCTCCCCCCTGTGTAAGGCTTCGGGCTGCGCACAGACAGCCCTCCCCCGGGTATTCTTACAGTGGAGGCCCATGCCACGAAACACCCTGCTTGTCGCCAGGGTTCCCTGGTTTTCGATGGTCTTGCTATGGAAAGCGTGACCTTCCCACACACAAAAAATCAATGGACGTCCTGGGGTCTCAGGGTTGGGTTTCTGGTGTAAGGTTTCTTGTGGACTGGCCTCCACTGTAAATCGGGCATGTACTTCTACAGGTGGTATATTCAAGAATAGTCGAACAATGGTCTGGTGCCGACTTTTCGTGCTTCTATGATCACTTTGGAGTATTTTTGTTGTTTATGTTTTTTCTTCCAAAATCCGCCTGTAGGAGGACGTGCCCGACCTACAGTCATCGTGCTACCGTGAGGATCGCTGAGTAAGGAACGAAGGGGCTTTCCTGGCGACGTCGACCTTCGTCCAGGAATAGGTTCCCTCATCCAGGTCTCAGGAACGGCAAGAAAGTCAGAGCCCCTTCTGAGCCCAAAGTGTTCCTTGTTTCGGCGCCTTGGCTGTAAGGGTAGGAGGAGGAGGAGGAGGAGGAGGAGGAGCAAGGAGGAGCGAGGAGGAGGAGGAGGCGAAGGAGGAGGAGGCGGAGTAGGAGGAGGAGAAGACGCGTGGAGGAGGAGGAGGAGGAGGAGGAGGAGGAGGAGGAGGAGGAGGAGGAGGAG